CCCCGAGCTGGTGGCCCCGGGGAAGGTCTGCTGGGGCCCGGGGAAGGGGGGAGCGTGCAGCCTCACCTGGCTCGCTCGTGAGCTTGGAAACCAGGACCCAGGCCGGGCATTCAGAAAGCGCAAGGGAGGTCGCTTTTTAGGGCCAGGAAAGGAAAGAACATTCCATCTCGATTTCTTCGGTCGCCCACAGCCAGCACCTGAATGAAGCTGGGGTTCCAGGCTCTGGGAGGGATGCCGCGGGGAGGGGATTGGGCCCCAGCCCAAATCGGGGCCTGTCACTCGGGCGGGGGCAGCGTGCTCAGGGCTCTGGGTGTCCTGGCGGAGAGATGACCGAGAAAAGGACTGTGGGGAGCTGGGCGTGTGGTGGTCAGCCTGCTGGGCCACACAGGACGGGGCGGCTCCCCTGGGCGGGGGCGGGGCGCACCCCGAGCAGATGCTGACCAGTGGCCCCCTCAGCCTGCCCAGCGGTGGAGAGCCCCCGGCCGTCTGTGAGATCTCGCCGTTGGTGTCCTACTCTGGAGAGGTGAGCGCCGCTTGGTGTCTGGGCTCTTGTGGGGTCGGGCCTGCCTGGTCAGGGCAGGAAGACGGTCGGGGAGAGGTGAGTCCGTGGGCGGAAAACTGCAGCTCTGCCTCCTTTCACGGGGGCTGGGGGATGGGGTGGGGTGTCAGTGGGTCCTTAGGTTGCAGAGGACCTTCCTGGACGTGAGATGGGGGTGGGGTGGAGCCTCGAGGTCCTGGGGGGTGGGGAGAAGAGCCGGGCGGCGGCCTCAGGGAGGTGTGCCGGCCATTCCCCATTCTCCTCGGGGTGAGTTCTGGCCCGCGCCTGCTGGGAGGGCTCCTGCTGCCTGCGGTCCTGAGGTGACACCTGACCCTGTTCCTGGAAGCCCCTCTCCAGCTCCAGGCAGAATTGGGGCCTTGGGACCCCTCCTGGGGCCAAGAGGTGGACACCTGGCTTCTTTCCAGGGTCTGGAGGTGCACCTGCGAGGCCGGGAGTTCCAGTCCCCACTCCTCCTGGATGAGACCCGCGTCAGG